AAATAGTACAACAATGAATGAATGATAACCCAAAATCTCTGTAAATGTTCATTAAAATTAATAAAATTTAATAATTAAAAAAAAAACAAAAAAATTAAAGATTCCTTTAAAAAATGAATTGTTATATACTGTTGAGTTAAAACCAACTCACAGCTGACCGTAAAATGGGTTTTCAGAGGCAGCAGCCTAAATAATCACTTTCAATTAATTCTATTAAGTTGGTAGTCTTATTTAAAATTAATACCCCCATCATATGACATATAACCACTGTTCATAAAAATCTAGTGAAAACATTTATTCCTTTCATCTATAATAATACTTCTAAACTCAGTCTAGTATATTTAGTAAAGTTCCCTCTGAAACTCTAGCTTTTCTTTGAAGTATTACAGCACCTAGTGATTTTTCGTAGATTCTCAGTTATATGATTTATGCTATCTTGTTGTTAATAAAAGTCTACTGCATGACAACCTTCTGATGAATAGCTGTATCATCCCTTTGAAAGCATCAATGGCTCTAGTTTATATTTTTAAAGCTATGGGACACTGGTCAAATTCTATTTTTGACCAAATATGTGAGAACTGAGATGGAAATTATTCTCACATTATTGCTTTCCAGAGCCAATGAGAACTGCATCAAACACTCCTACACTCTACAATTTAGAACCTTATTAGAACTTAAACATAACAAAACACACCTGAGATTCACAAAGTCTTTTGCTGCTAAAGCTTCTTTTAGCTTAAAGTTGCCGGAAAGCTTCAGCTGATTTAGCCCACTCAGGCCTTCTGTAGGAAACGAAGTTACTTCATTGAAACTTATGTCTCTGAAATGTGAATGAAACATCTTGTTAAATGCTAAGATGTGAACCACATGAAAACATCTGACCATAATATCAGAAATGAGCACTGACATGAAGTTCAAGTGTGCAAAAATGACCTAGCATTCATCACACCATCACAGAAGCTGGTACTAAATCAATATAGCTTCGCATTTATACATGGGAACAACCAGACAGAAGATTTTGATAGGACAAGGTTAAGTCACAAGTTTCTATGGCACTATTCATTATGTTCCTGTAATTACCATGGAAAAATCATCTACTTACAAGTTAGTTATAGATCCAAGTTTGGCAAAAGCTCCGTTATGAATTTCATGGATTAGGTTTCTACTCAGATCTCTGCAATTATTAGAGTTACATGTTAATCATTTTACATAAACATTCATATAATATGAGTTACTTCAAATACACCTTAAAATCTGGGGTAGTCAGATAACCCTGATAAGATAACAAAGATTTTTCCATCTCGTCCAACAACATTTTTCTCAGGTTTATTTTGAATGCTTACTTTCCAACAATCTATTTCTTAGGAACCTGTTCCAGTTAGCAGTAATTCCACCTGGCATCAGTTTAAAAACAGTTGTGCAGTTTCTCTACTTTATCATTTTGGTAAGAGTTCAAAATATTAAAGATATACTACAACCTTTGGTACTATTAAAGAGGTGAGGAAAAGCCGGGCTCCTGACAGAGCTGAAAATAAAAACAGGCTCCATGTTATTTGCCTTCTCAAAGGTTAGTGATAAGGCACGAGGGAAGACAAAGAATCAACAGCAAACAGGAGCATTCCTGAAGGGCCTCAGATAGCATTCTTTTCTCATGCAGGAAATAAAAATCCTATCAGCAGCAGAGGCGCAGTCTAAATTAAGAAACACCCACTGAGTAATTCTGATATTACAGGATTAATAAAACAGAGAAGCAATCTCCAACCACACTTAAATAAGGCCTTAATGGAAATGTAAAGATTGGATAAATTCCTTCTATGACACATGCTTGGATAACAGGAAAATTTGGTTCCAAATCATGAAAGAGCCAGCTTCTTGTTCCAATCATTAAACGGTCAACTTTTCATTGTTGTCACTTATCAGTGCTATCCAAGTGATGGCAGCTAGAACCCAGTGCCATTCCCGCACCACCTCTAAGATCTACGGTAAACCTATTGGCAAGAGGTGAAAAACCCAGCAGCTCAACTATAATGAGTACTTCAAGCAAAATGTGCATATTTTATTTCCTAGTGAGGCTACAAGCAAATAGGACTTGCTATATGTGACATTACATCACTCCAATTTTTCGAATGCTTTCCATATTTTAAATAGACTTTATAAATCACTAATTTATTTTATCTGTGTTGTCAGCACTAGAGTTCTATGAAGGCAGTGATAAAGTCTGTCTTTTATCTGTTCCACTGCCTTTGAGTCAATTCTGAATCACTGCAACCTGTAAAAATGGAGTAGATTTTACCCCTAGAGTTTCCATGGCTGTAATCTTTAAGGAAGGGGGCACTGGTGGCCTACTGTCAAGAAGTTGTGCTGGGTGGGCAGGGAGAAAAGTGCAACAATGAATGAATAGAAATACAAAATCTCTGTAAATGTTCATTAAAATGAATAAAATTTTTTTAAAAAACAAAGTTGTGCTGCAATCCTGAAGGTCTGCGGTTCAAATCCATCAGCTGCTCCATAGAAGGATAAACAATCCTCTCTCGTCTGATTAACTGCCTCTGAAAACCCTCCAGAGTGTCAGCTATGGGTCGACTCCATGGTACACATCAACAATCTTTATGGAAGCAGACTGCAACAGCTTTCTACTGTGAAGCTACTGAGGGGTTTGAACAACTGACCTACTGATAGTTGTTGTTGTTATTATGTGCCATCGAGTCATTTGCGACTCATAGCGACCCTGTGTACAACAGCCCTAAACCATGCTCTATCCCGTGCCAATCTCATTGCCTCTGACACACCCATCCCGATTAGTAATAAAAAGTTAAAGTACTATTAGTTGCTCCTTTGTTGATGTTATGTACTGTCAAGTCAAAACCAACTCAGAGCTGACCCTCCAGCAGGTTTTGAGAGGCAGCAAGTTGCACAGGACTTTGCCTGTCTTTCACTTGAGGAGCAGCTGGTGGATTCAAACTTCCTGCCTTTGGGCTGGCAGTGCAGCTCCAACCACCAGACCACTAGAGCTCCAGTGCTCCTTTAATCTTAAAAAATCTGACCAATCAAAACCTACTACTGTCAAGTTGACTCTGACTTACAGGAAAACCTTTAGAGCATGAGTCTGTCCACTTTTCTTCCTTGGAGCACCTGGTAGATTCAAAGCACTGACCTTTCAGTCAGCAGTGGAGCTTGTAACACACTACACCACAGTCACCTCTATATTCTCAAGAGCTTAATATAGTGGCTAATCTACATATGTACTATTATTGCTATATATTAATACATATTTATGTGTAATATTTATATGTATAATATTTATGAATAATACCAACATTTTTTAAATCGAAAACTCCTGCCACATATTTGCAATGACAGATACCCTGGTGCGTTTTTACAGAGGATCAGGGGAATACTTTCAGTTTGTGGGGCATATGGATTCTATCGTAACTGGTTCAACTATATCACAGTATTAAGGAAAAAAGAAAACACCTTCAAATAAAGTGGCATATAGTTCCAAAAGACCCTGAGTTACAGAGACAAGCCAGAAGAAGGTAGGTTTCGCCTCCTCATTATTGTACGGTCCTATCAAAAAAATCTTACTCTTATAATTTAGAAATGGCATCTTTTACATTTTTTACTCACCAATGTGTAACATTAATAACTAGCAAAGGTAAAAATACCAAAAGCAGAGTATTCACAGCATATCATCCAATAAAGCTTAAAGAACAATATTTAGGTAAAATAAATTTTATCTTTAATTCATATCTTTACCTGGGAACTATAATAATATAGTACTAATTTATAGCTAGACAACAATTTTATGTCTTTGATAATTAAAGATAAACTTACAGAATCCTTAAAGAAATGAGGCCTTGAAAAGTGCCCTCCTTTATCTGCCGAATCTGATTATGCTGCAAAGAACTGGAAAGAAAAAAAAATTTTAGTGCAACAATGAATGAATGGAGACCCAAAATCTCTGTAAATGTTTATGAAAATTAATAAAATATAATTATAGAACAAAAAAGAAAAAGAAAAAAAAATTATTTTCTATTAAAAAACAGAATTCATAGTTGAACCTTTTCCCTAGATTTAAGTAGTAATTCATACATTACATTAATCAAATTTTGTTAAAAGTGAAAGAAGTCCCAAGAGGGAGAAGTCAAGCAACCAGGTTAACAGCGATGGGGCAAAACCCAAATTGATTGAGGGTAGGTTACATAGGTAATTCTTTTAATTGCTGTCAAAAAGCTGTATGCTTAAAAAATGTAGAGTAAAAATCATATCATATACATTATTAATAGCAATGACAGAGATAAAAAGAGGAGCTGCTAGGATTTTTTTCCTACAAAACACCTCATTAGATGTGGTTCTTTGGTCAAGTTTAGGACCATGTTTCCATGGGTCATACCTGTTAACTGGCCTATAACATGCTTAGTGTTTCAGTTGTGTCTTTGAGTTTGCTGCATAATGCCTGCAGTATTCGAAGCTTGTATGTAGGCCTCTAAGGCACAATTAGTCTTTGTTCACCTGAAGCAGCAGAAGCATGGAGAAGAGGATCAGAAATAGACATATGCTATACAACATGTGGCTAATTGCCTACATGAACAACTGCCTCCTTTACCATGAGGACCGATGAAATGCTAGGCGCCTGGCTACCATTACTGATTGATCAAAAATTCCAGAGGGGGGAAAAAAACCCTCTTTTTTAAAAGGAGAAAATGCAAAACAGATTTTCATATTCTCTATAGAGTCCAGACTGGATTTGTAGGAGATAGATGAACTCCTGAAACTACTGCCCTAAGGAAATCCTTAAACCTTAAATCTTAAAACCAAAAATATCCCCTACAATCTTTTTTTAAAAGGGAATAATGTTGTTATGAAGTGCCACTGAGTTAAGTACAACTCATAATGACTCTATGAACAACACATGTGGACCGTGCCCTATCCTGTGCCATCCTCACCATCTCCTGAGATGCTCAAGCCCACTGATAAAGTCACTATATCAATCAATCTTGTTGAGGGTCATCTTCTCTCTCTGACCCTCCACCTTTCTCAGAATGATATCTTCTCAAAAGGCCAACCTCTCCTCATGCCCAAAGCACGTGGGATAGAGTTTCACCTTCCTAGCATCTAAGGACCCAAGGAGAAAACTAATTGCACTTCCTCCAAGATACACCTGTTTTTTATGGCAGTCCATGGTATTCAGGACTCTTTTCCAACAAATCAAAGGCATCAGTTCTTCTTTGGTTATCCTTATTCATTGTCCAAATTTCAGATGCATGGGAAACAAATGAAAAGACCATGCTTAGATCAGGCACACCTTAGTCTTCAAACTGACGTCCTTGCTCCTTAAAACTTTTGGAGAGGTCCTTGATAATTGATTTTCCCAATCTTACACATCTTTTGATTTCTTTATTGCTGCTACTGTGAATGTTATTTGTGGATTCAAGTAAAATGAAATAATTGACAACTTCAACCTTTTCTCCAGCTTTATCTCACATACTTTGGCCACATGGCCAGGAGAGACCAGTTCTTGAAGAAAGACATCATGCTTGGAAGTGTGTAAGGACAGCACAGGAGAGGAAGAAGACCCTGGATGAGGTGGACTGACAAATTAACGGGGGTAATGCGGGTAGGGGCATGTGTGAGTCAGTGATGCCGGCTCAGGACAGGGCAGGCTTCAGAGCTGTTTTACAAAGGGGTCACTATTGAGTCACAGGTGACAGTATATAACAACAATATGATGTTGCCTATTGGTGAGCATTTGTTTTCTTAAACAGATGTTAAAATAAAATTCATATTGAATCTTATAGTCTTTGGTCATCTGGAGCGAGTTTTTCAAAGCTTCGTCACTTTAAGCAAGTAAGAATATATTATCTGCATAACACAGCCTGATGATGAGTGTTCTTCCAATCCTGATGCCACATTCTTTAGGTAGCCCAGCTGTCTGAATTTGTATCAATCTTGACAATCCTGATTTTAAAGCATGCAGTGTTCATTTGTTCTCTTCAGACAACTGATTCTTGGCTGATATATACCATTTAAATAAGTATAACTGAATGTTTTAGGATTCATGTTCTAAACATCTTTCTAGTATTTTCTGCTTCCATGCATGATCCATCTGATATAAGCAATGATAGTTCTCATTTCATTGTCTTCTGAATCCAGTTTGACATTTTGGCAGTTCCCTGTCTATGAACTAGTCTAGCCATTTAAAAAAATATCTTCAGCAAGATTTTACTTGCATGTGATATTAATGACATCACTTGACAATGTCCACATTCTGTTCAATCACCTTTTTTGGGAAAGGGAATCAATATAGATCTCTTCTAGTCACTTGGCCAGGTAGCTGTCTTCCAGATCTCCTGGCATAGGCTAGTGAGCAATAGTTTAGACAAACTGATTTTTCTAAAGCTCTTCCTTCAGTATTATGCATTTTTCAACAGCAGTTTAAAAGATTAGATAGAAACTTTAGCAGGAAAATTTAGGTAATGAGGGAGGAAAAGCGATGAAAATGGTTGTACAATTTGTAAAATGTAATCCATTTCACTGAATTGTATAAGCAGAAATTGCTGGATTAGTCTCTCGCTATTTATATTCTCAACAATAATATGTTCTTGTTGTTCTTATGTGCCATCGAGTCGCCTACGACTCATAGCAACCCTATGTACAACAGCCCTAAACTCCGCTCTGTCCTGTGCCAACCACACTGTCTCTGACACTCCCATCCCAATTATCCCAGTCAC